GAGCGAGCGAGAGACCGGGCGCCTTCGGCTCTTTCCGGCCGTTTCCGTCAAATGCGGCTGGTTTCCCTCTCGCGATCGAAGCCCCCCCCTCCCCGGCTCTCCTGTGTGACGTCAGTGAATCAGAACGGAGTGACCTCCCGTGTCGAAACGGAAACAGACGCGACCAACAGCACACTGTGGCATCAATTTAATACTGATACATCGTTTCTGTTCTCACACCGAGACTCTCCAGGCTGGACTGGACTGACTGGACTGGGAGCTGGATTATTTATTAACTGGGATTATAATCAGACTCCACTGACACTGCCAGAGCAGTCTGAGACTCTCCAGGCTGGACTGGACTGACTGGACTGGGAGCTGGACTAGTTCTTCACTGGGAGTTATAATATGACAGACCTATAATCAGTATAGAGTTGAGCAGCCAGATACACTCTGAAGGTAACAGAAGTGAACTATACTGACAGGCTGGAGGAACTGAATAATAATAATAATTCTTACACTTATATATCGCTTTTCTGGACACTCCACTCAAAGCGCTTTACAGGTAATGGGGAATCCCACTAACACCACCAATGTGCAGCATCCACCCTTTACACCTTTAATCTGAAGGGAGTGTCCCACACTGACAGGCTGGAGGAACTGAGTCTCTTTAGTCTGGAGGGAGTGTCCCACACTGACAGGCTGGAGGAACTGAGTCTCTTTAGTCTAAACGGAGTGTCCCACACTGACAGGCTGGAGGAACTGAGTCTCTTCAGTCTGAAGGGAGCGTCCCGCACTGACAGGCTGGAGGAACTGAGTCTCTTCAGTCTGAAGGGAGCGTCCCACACTGACAGGCAGGAGGAACTGAAGGGGCTGATATGATCTTACATCACAAAAGCCTAAACAGTTTCCCAGTCAGTGGGCCTGCAGTCTGAGCTCGCACCCGGGTCCGAGACACGAGTTCAGAGGGCAGCCGACAGTTGCCTTTCTCGAGAGATTAATAAAGCTGATCCACAGCTCGGGTTCCGGTCAAGAGAGAGAAGCTGCAGAGGGTACCCCCTGTTACAAATACACACTGACTACTGAATATTACATGTCATTAAACACTACACTCCAATACTCCCCACACACAGCACCCGCGGTTCCCAGAACCACAAGGAAACAAAGCCCGAAGTGAAAGCCCGACTTGTCCAGTTTTATTTCTTTCCATCTCTGTCCGGATCTGTACCGTACAGAACAGAAACCGAGAAATCGAACAAAACCGAAAATAGAGGAATATTTGATCATTTTATCCCAAACGTACGAGGCGTTGAATTCTCGTGAGGTCCTGTGACAGGGCTGCACAAACCGGCTTTTACAGTGTAAAAGATGTAGGCATTCAAATTATATGATGATGATATTATTATGATTATTATTGTTATACCATTACAGTAATTCCAATGAAATTCGCTTCCTACCTGCGCCAATCCGTGGATTTCAGACACTCCTAAAAGGAAACGGTAAATAAACCGATTTATTTTCCTTCACGGCAACAGAAACTCATTCCAAGAACCAAGACCTTTAATTTTTTTAATTCATCGAGAAATAAAAGCGACTACTGCCGAGAACCGCTACCGATGACAGCTGCTTCCGATCTGTGTTGCACCAAACTGAGTCCCCCTGGTAACGAGGGCTGCAGTTAAAAGGGCCGGCCTGTGTATCTGCAGGAGGGCTGTCCAGTCCTGGTCCTGGAGGGGTCAGTGTGTGTCTGGAGCAGGGCTGTCCAG